TGATGCCAAATCTTATGTTTATCTACTCTATCGATGTCTAGTAACTGTATTACGAGAGTTTCTTGCAAGACTACCTGATTTCCCTGTCTGCGCGACTATTACCTGTGGACAGGGTTACTACAATCGAGGACGATGGTGAAAAGAACAACAACCTGGTACAGACAATAACGGCGGCGGCGACGACGACGATACTAGCCATATAGGATATTAAAAAAAAAACAAAAAAAAAAGTCCACCATCTGATAACCACACTCTGTCGAGGAAGTTGACCTATAAATGCCAAGGCTGCTTCCTTATCAGTCGGGATTTTGACTCCAATCACACCAACCCGCCTGAACTCCCCCTCCCCTGGGACCAAGGCGAGTCTCAACATAGACGGGCAAACGAAATATAAAGGTACAAATTGAATGTCGGCACAAATGTCATCGTAAGTGTCGAAATGAACCCAGGCTTGAGTCATGGACTCAATCATAGTTCCATGCATAGCTTGAAGCCCAGGCTCATGAAAGCTTGACAACGTGACTTGACGAGACGTGATTGCTTTCATCCGCTTGTACCATTCCGGGCATGAGTAAACATCATCAACTGTAGCCGGCAGCACTATAGCTTGAAGTGTAATGGCGCCATCCGTAACCTGGCCAGTCTCATCATCTGTCAGGGGAGTTGTCTCCGCTGACATGACTTCGGCCAATGAGTTGTTGTCAGGAGACTTAATGCAACTCATGATTTTCCCATCTACTGCGGCCCAAGACCATGAAGGTGCCCGGTAATCGAACTGCCGTCTCCCGCATACACTGCCTGGATGCACATGCCATGCCAAAGCTTCAGGTAATTTGGCCTCCCATATCCCAGCCAAATATCTGGTTTCTTCGCCAAGGGCTTCCAAGAAGCTTCTTGTTTCTTTTGCAATGGCCGATATCGCCACCAGCTTATCGCGTGATTTGGTAAGTTGGCATTTCGTGTAATACCCAAGCAGCTCACGCCATTGACTGTAATGGAGTTCGGGTCCCCAAACAGGCAATCCCGGCCATTGAGGCATTAGATATTTGAATGCGGGCTGATGGTTGCTAGGCCCTCTACTTCGGAGGTCCTCTTGGCGAGTCCAGCCAGCACCAAACCAGTCGGCATCAGGCTGGCTCTCAGAACAATGCATTTCATGGCACTCCCATAAAACTTGCTGTTTACCCCAGTATATTGTCCGTGGACTCAAGACTCTCTCCTGCAAGATCCAGGCGCGCTTACATAGAGTTGCGTGGTCGAGGCTTTTCTGATGAAGCAAGAAAATCTCCCACTCGTTAACAAATGAGTCTGGCGTGCCAAACAGAGATAAGTCGATAACAGTGGGCTTGATATCCTTCGGGTCCCGTTGAAAGCAAAGGTCCCCTTCATCGTTTTCCGCACCCAAGGCTGCGATGCAAAGAAATGCACTCTTGAACACTTGATGCATCGATGAGGACTCCTGACTCCAGTCAACCTCGGAGTCTTGAAATATGCACAAGCGGTCTATCCATATGTACTGTAAACCAGGCCGTTCCAGGGCCACGAAGGCGTCTTTGAACGTCCTTGTAAGACAAGATAGTGGCTTGCCTCTCGATAACTCTGTCAGCATTGAAGCTCTAAGTGTGAGATCCAGGTCCCAGGATTTGTCTCCCCAGCAATGGCTTAGCGCAAGGTATTTCGATCCCGGCTCAACTTTTTCGCGCAGGACCAGGCGGAAACTTCTCTCCCCACCGCTCGTATGTAGCTTCAGGAGACGTGTCGGAATAAAGGTCGACTGGACTTTGCATAGAGAATGTTTGTCATCGCAACTACGTATCCAATGTTGGATGGTAGCTCATGTACTCGGGGCATCAGAGAACTCTGATGTCATGTTGTTGAAGCGACGTTGGATTGCTGCAGAGTTGCATTAGTTCTTCTATTTGATTCCATGATACGTATTCGGACGATACTAACTTGAATATGGCCAGAACTCGCCATAGCGATCAAAAGATTGGTCCCCACAAATGATGTACATACTGAGGCATATCTTCCCTGTGTGGGTTTCTAGGCCGAGGCAAATGTTGATCCAGGTGAAATATCCCAAAGTTGCCATATCCTCCGTGTATTCAGTTCTCACTGGTAGGGAGCTGCATATTGCGCAATCTTCTGCTGCTGATTCCGACCATGATTCGGGCGTTTTATGGTGCCCGTACGCATATTCATCACGGTCGAATCGGCGTTCGGGATCAGATAACACTGAATGAGCATGTGAGCATGCTAGTGAGACGTAACACCTGATTTTTAAATATCTTACATCTTGCATGTCTTTGTCTTTGGCTCTCCGTTATTGGCGCGACCCCTTCTGGAGGCCGGGCAATGCCGGTCGCGCCTACTACCTCAACCGACGAAGGGTCGACGTAGCTCTCGAGGGATTTGATACACACGGCAAAAGAATCTTGCAGATCGACGTTGTTGATCTAAAATGGAAAAGCTCTAGGAGAATGAAAGAGTTCATGGAGGTTATCATCAGTTGTAGTAAATACCCACAGACCTCTGACCAATCAATCCCAGCCACATGGCGGACGTGAACCAACACCTCCGACTTCGTCACCAGGAATTATGTTACATAATCTTGCAAACATTCAACGTGATCTACATAGCTTGGCATTCAGAAAAGAACTCCCCAACCTCTATATTTGAAGGAACCCCTCTGCTCTACCCTAGTGGTAAAAAGCCTCCTAGTATCATCAAGGAAGGTTGCCTTGCTGTAAGTGAAATCTAAAAAAAACTCTTGAATTTAGTGTCTTCACGTGTAGGATGTCTTCACGTAGGTAGAAGTTTTGCAGGTGAGCTAGTTTTAAGCCTGTTAGCTTAGCGACTGGAATCAACTTTCAATGATCAGGCAAACCGGGGTCACTCCTGCCTTCTCTCCAGGCCGTCTCTATCTGATATCCAAGGCAATTCTAGGCAGCCGTGTCAACGCCAACTTCAGTCTTTCCGCTAGCTGAATTGTCACCAGTGCATCTCCCAAGGAGGCCTCGATGGCTGAGGGGTTAAGCAGCAGCGTAAAAGAATATCCAGGTTAAGGAGCTCTGGGAATCCATCTGGAGGCGCTGGTTGGACACTGCCCTGAGGCAGTAGGGCGTATTTGTTTCTTCTTTCTCTCTCTGTATTCTTTTCACTTCCATATTCACACTCGCATTACGTGCTCATCATGCTTAATTTCTCAACGTTATTTTTCTCCTCTGTTGTTATTGCATCTAGGCATACCTATTAAGCTATGATTACGAGCTGTAGTGACAGCACGTAGGGACTTTAGAACATGCTTTTTCTACGTGAGGTTAAAAGAAATAGTACCTTGCGCCAGAGCACCAGGCTATTAAATGCAGAACTTATGATGGGACCTATATATTAGTGCGCGAGGTTTTCCCTGAAGACGACAGTTTTAACTTAACACCTCATAATATAACGAAACTTAGTTCTCTTAAACGCCTTATTTCTCAGCAGATTCTTTCTACTTACCCTCCTTTATTTTACTTATGATCTATTAAAACCTAAACTCAGTCTAATAGTATGATCTAAGATTATTATATGTAAATCACTCTTACCTTAAATTCTATAGAATTTTGCTATCTAGGCGGATAAATACTTATACTAGGCCTAGCAGTCTATTTTAGTTAAATAATTTTACTATTATTATCGTCTTTATTATCTTTATTATTCTTATCATCCCTTTCTCTCTCCTTCTCCTTCTACCTATAACTATCATCGTCGTCATTATCGTCGTCGTCGTCGTTATCGTCGTCGTCGTTATCGTCGTCGTCGTTATCGTCGTCGTCGTTATCGTCGTCGTCGTTATCGTCGTCGTCGTCACTGTCGTCGCTGTCGTTGCTGTCGTCGTCGTCGATATCGTCGCCTATTCCCACTACCCGCCCGGATAGCTTGAAGTATCCGCCCGGCTAGTAAAATTCATTCCATGACCTATCCCAGCTGCCCAGCTTGCATGTAGAATTGTGTTCTTTGCAAAGCCCGAAATGAGAAACCCACCTGTGCACGTTTCCAACTAGTAAAAGTCGCCTCAGTTTCCCAACTAGGAGGACTTCACCGCTGAGGAAAACCTTATACTATTAAGCCGTCCGACGGAACATTACACGATGCCGACGCCTATTACACGACAACAGGAACCGGCCATCCTTTGGAACATAAATAGTCTCCATGATACCTCAATTGACCTCAGTACTTCATTCGCCATCGTTCATTTTCCAATTCAATCATCAAAGTCCCTCGCTGCAGCTCTTTCAACATGCGCGTTACCTTCTTACTCGTTGCTGCGGTTACCTTCTTCGGCATTGCCAGCGCCAAGCAATGCTGCTGTGTTGAACCTATACACAATGCATGCGTTCTTGCGGAAGTGACAGGCGACACGTGCGCTACGAGTGCTTGTCAAGCTTGCAATTGCTAGCCGTCTACGTGAGTTGAACCCGTCTGTTACCACGACCCCTTACAACTAAGACAGAATTTGCAGTATCACCATATTCTGGATTGGCGGCTGGAAGTCCGTTGAAGATACCTGTCTAGTTAGGCAATTTTGAGATTTGAGGGGGCAGCAACCTGCAAGCAACGCGATAGATTACACATCCCATAGACTTGTGCCATTTGAAACACCACTGACCTCTGCTGTATGTGCAAGTAGTTAGCGGCTCTGAATGAATTCACTTGGTCCACACCATTTAGCTCCATACTTGACACTGCCCTCAGCGCGAGTCATGGGCGAGGCGCTAGGTACGGCATGTCAAAGCCACTAATGGTGTTGACCTCAGCGCGCACGGGTGACGTCAGTTCTCGTAGCTCCAATATTTCGCTTTTCAAGTTGTGAGATGAAATATCTACACCAGGAATGTACCAAAAGATAATCTAACATGGGGCTGCCATAGGCGATTCCTTGCTCTACCATATACAAACAGAGTGCCTGGAAGGATACACAACGCTCAACACAACCGCGCTGTATTCCTTGAGCGCGATTACTCCGCCTTCACTCCCTTGGCAGAAGTCCTCACTCCAATTCCAAGCACAATCAAAATCCGAACCAAGACCATCGGTGCCGTCGACCAAAAGATGACCCAATCCTCAACAGTCCACTCTTGGTACTTCAACCAGACCTCCCAGCCCCCAATGGCCTGTGCCGATCCGTGCATGTAGGCCGCGTCGCTCAGGAGCATGCCCGCACAGACGACGCGCCAGAGATTCAGGTCATCGAAGAACCGCAGCACCACGCCCTCCATGAAGGCGAAATAGAGCCATCCTCCGCTCAGCTGGGTGAAGAGAAACTGCGTGTGAGGCGCGTAGGTGTGCGAGTTACGCGTCAGCCCCGCCTGATACTGGTTCGGCGCGTGCAGCGTCATGACCGCGCCCAGGATCGCGAAGATGGGCTCGACGGTCATGATGATGAGTTGGTAAATCCCCGGGACTGCGGATGACCCCTTGATGGTCGCTTTTTGCGGTTGTGTCGCCATCTTGCGCGTTCCCTTGTGGTGGCTGGTGTACGTGTGTCGTCGGGCGATCTGTTCGTTCTTTTCTGTTGAGAAGAGTCTTATCGCGAACCACGGTCGCGCTCGATATCGCGATGATCAGAAATGGCCCTCGCTGCAGGTTGAAGGTGAGATTTGGCCGTCTTTGCGATGAAGGATGCAGCTAGAATGAGATGGAATGAGATGTGAACAGCTCTGGAAAATTCCTCCCTGCGCCGCTAGCTTTATCAATATTGGACTGTCGAAGCTTAAGTAGCTCGGTGAAACACGTAACTCGGAACTACCGGCTGCGGGGTCACTTGTGCGAATAATCCGAGACGATTCGATGAGTTACATGAAGCATCCTGGCAAGAGAGACGTGGTCTACCAGGAGTGCACGGTCTATGAATTTCCCAGTGATGCCCAATTGAGAGCGCCGAAGCATAATAAGGCTGCGAGCATAAATGCATAGTTCTCAGTTCTCGAGGATTGCCTGATTGGGTATCGCAGCTCCCTTGGAGCTTGTCCCGAGCTTCTGGTCTCTTGTTTCGCAATGATGAGCGAACTGCTGTCAACTGACTGGCGTTCGCCTCGCACGCACGGCTTGAGCGTAAGCTGACATGAGACGAGCTGCCGGACTGCATGAAGAACCTTGCTGAAGGATTTCCAAGTTGGTGAAGCAATGGCTCGACGGTGTCTCCGAAAGTGGAAGTCTCGAGTCATTGTGGTATCATTGTAGGCAGGGCGGATTGCTGAGGTGGTGATGAGTTCGTTGTGGGGTGGTTTTCCCGGTGGGATATGCAGCAGCAAATAATATTGCGACTTTGCGAGACATACACTGCAGTTGGTTGAACGAGCTTATTCTGGGCAGTTACACAGCGTTTGCTGATCTATGATTGACAGAATATGACGTGGGCAAGGCTCTTCTTTCCGATGTCCCCAAAAGGACCAAGCCACAAATTCCACATTGGACGGCAATGCTTTGGTAAATTAGCACTGACCTGCCCATTCGCGCCTACAAAAGGAAGCATTCGCCCCCCTTGACAATGGCATTGAGCCTGGAAGTTACTTCCTGCTGCGCCTCGATATTCTCATATCAAGGAAGCTCCATCCACCTACGTTACCGACCGTCCCTCGATAGTGTATGCCATCGCTCCACGGGAATAGTAATATCATGCTCTAATTCTTTTCCGTGGCTTTATCGGCTTCTCCTGCGCTATCTGCTGTTTTACCGTGTTCAATAATAACACCAGACTCTAGAGAAGTCTCTGGAGCTTCGGGATTCTTCTTCTGTTCGCGCAACAGGAGGAGTCTGATGCTGATGACCGCAATTATCGCAGCGATGATGAACCCGAAAGTAGCGGGGAAACCACGTCCTGAGTGACCAAGCTGTTAGCGGACGATGAACGGCTTTGCGTCAACCTTTCGGGACTTACTGAAACTGGGTGCCATAGTCTGAGGGAAAATCACGATAGGTAGCCAGGCGTCAACTGCATATTGCATCCCGTTCATGCTGCTAATAACCAGTGCGCGTTCTTCGTTATCGCCAGCGCAGACTTCGTTCGCCCAGGTGTAGCTAAGAATGGCTAATCAGTACGGAGAGGCTTCTTGCCGATACTGACTCAATATGCTTACAAGACTGCTGTCATCAAATGTATGCTGCTCGTGAGGAATGCGGCCTCTTTCAAGGGAACACTGGCAGGCCATACAGCTAAGATGCCGTTGGGTATGAGGCCCAGTATCTATTTCGAGTCTAAGTCAGCTTTATTCTGACATCTTCACGCAAATGATAAGGCGAATGCGCGGCTTACCAAAGGTATCAAAATCAAAGCAAAACGGCTACCAGTGTAATCAGACAAAAAGCCCCATACAATGACGCAAAAGGCCATGATCAGCCTCGAGCCGGTAGGGATCACGTTTCTGTCAACGACCGAGTAGTTTTCCGATTTGAGCCAGATACCGAAGTAGCCGCTGGCTTGGCAGGATTCGCCGTACAGCTGCAACGTCCTTATCAGCAACCTTGGTATCGCATCTGCGAGACGCCTGATATGCACTCACCACATAACCCAGCACGAACGCATACCACCTCCACTTTGATAAGACACGCTTGAAGGTAGCAAAGGTCACTCCTGCAGGTGCCGCCTTGCCAGCCTTTTGGACTCTCTCGATAGCCAGCTCGCATTCCTTGGCGGTCAGGAACCTCGACTTTGTGGTGTATGGCGTATCGGGGAGGAAGAAGAACGTCGCTAGACCGACGGGCACAGTCATACACTGGGTTAATCAGTATCGAGGTGAAATTTAACGGATCCTTTCTTCGACTTACTCCACAAACGATGTATAGCCATCGCCATCCAGACAGACCATGGGCACCATTAAGACTCTTGTACACAGCTGCTTGAAGATATCCTACAAAAGGGCTTAGTCAACAATGTTGAAAGATAGACGTTTTCATCAACACTTACCTCCAAAGGCAGAGCCAAGGGGTGCAGTCATGTGAAAAATGGCCACTCTCTTAGCAAGCTCCGTCTTCGTATACCAGCTCCCAAGCACGTAGAGCAACACGGGGAAGAAACTGCTTTCGAAGAAGCCCACGAAGAACCGAAACGCATACAGCTGGCTGGAGCTATGAGTGCCAGCCTGAGCAAAGGTGAAGACGCCCCATGCAACTTCCATACAAGCCAGCCAGATACTTGGTCGGATCTTCTGCACAATGAGGGTGCTCGGCACTTGCATGATGGCATACGCGCAAGTGTATGCTGTCTGGGCGTAAGTGTACTCGTTTCCGAACATTCTCAGGTCTTCCTGCATCCCCGATACGTAGGCGTTTGCAAGGTTGCCTTGGTCTAGGTACTTCATGAAGAACCCCAGGCATCCGATGGTGAGGATGGACCAGTCCAGTTTTCGGAGAAGGACTCGTTCTTCGTGGCTCTTGAGATGGGTGTCGGTATCCCAAATGAAGGAGCGGAAGGACCGCGAGGGTGATTTAGTAGGCTGCGATTCCGTCATCTTCAAGGCGTGGTAAGATGCCGTGAGGGAAGAGTGTGATTTCCACGGTAGTCAGCTTCAAAGACGGCAGCGTGGCAGCATATGTATGCCTTCTTCCATCGACACTAGCTTAGGTTGCGCAATCGGAGGAGTGTATTTCAGACGGCCGAGGCATGTCTGCCATGCATTGATAGCACCAGACATACCTGCATGCCAAAGGCAGAACCGGACCATATCCCCTGTGGAGGCAAAGCAGCTCTCGCTAGACATGCCAGAACGTTGCGTTCTTGTCTCTTTGAGTATGGCGCTGCAGAATCTCGTTGGTGTTGGGAGGTGTCGGGGGCTGTCCGACGGCGTCGACCAATCGTATGTGGTCCATTATCGTGGGGTCGATCGGCGGATGCAAGACGACAGAGTCGGGGATGATTGCGAGCTTATCATCCATGGCAACACGGCCACAGTGCCGGCTGCTATTCGGGGGCATTTGCGACAATACCGATAAAAGTCCATTCAGACGTGTATTTATGGAATTTAATCCACGAAAGGGCTTCTTACTCGGAAGGTTGTTTTCTCGCATACTGTATGCACGTCGCACAAACCCTGGAGCCCTTTGACGTCCACATGTAAGAAGCTGCACAGTGCTCAACATACCCAATATTTTATTCATCTTAAGACGGACTTCATTATGTGAACTTCCTTACACAACCTGACCGACTGTCACCCGACTAAGGTCTTGTCTTGGGTTTCTTGTGAAGGCCCCCTGTGTTCAACTCCAGTTGCGCCAATAATAATCCCATAGACGTGGTTGACGTACAGAACTAGCAATAGCGATAATAAGGACGAAGATAATCATAACGATAATAATAAAGGTAATAGAACTAAAGATAAGGATAGAAATAATAATAATAGTAATAGAAGCGACAACGAAGACGACGACAACGAAGACGACGACAACGAAGACGACGACAACGAAGACGACGACAACGAAGACGACGACAACGAAGACAACGATAATGACAGTAAAGTGATTAGAGTATAACCACAGGAAAAGTAGGCGATCTTAAAATCAAATGGCTTTCCTGCTTCCTGCTACAGCCTTGAAGGTAAGAGCATGTAACACAAGAGCGCTGGAACAAATGAAGGGCGAGCTTTTGTGATGTCCATATGATTAATGTCTTTGCCACGTCCTTTATCACCATACTTCGTAGGCAATATCTACGAAAGAGGACTGCTATTCTTTTTATGGAAAAGGGTATGGAAAAGGGTTCAATGTTTGATTTTGTCAGCAGCTTCCACTTCTTGTTGGCTCCTTCGAATAATGTGCAGAAGTTAGTGCTCCCCGTAAGGTAAGTAAACTTATTAAGTTCAATCAATCAATTAATTAATTATAAAGCTATTACTAGTTAGTTAAGTTAAGTTTGAGGCTCAAACTTGATTAATTGCTTTAACTCTTTTAATAGGGGGGGAGGGGGGCTACTAGGGCTTAGGGGGCCTTATAGGGGGGCTTTAGGGGGGGCTTAAGGGGGGGGGAGGAAGGCTAAAGGACCTAGAAAAACACAGAAAATCGTTACTCTAGCTGGACTTTTAGCCCTAAAAACCCAGCTCCAGGGCCCCCTTTTTAGCCGCCCTTCTAGCCCCCTTTCTAGGGGCCTTCCCTCTAGGGGCTACCCTCCTAGGCCCTAAGTTTCTGGACCATACCCTCTAGAGCCCTCCCCTCTAAAGCCCTCCCCTCTAGAGCCCTCCCCTCTAGAGCTCTCCCCTCTAGCCCCCTCTAAGGCCCCCCCTCTCTAGAGCCCTCACCTATATGTAGGGATATTTACTAATTAATTAGCAATTAATTAAGTATAGCATTGCGATGTGGCAATTAAGTTAATTATGGGCCTCAAACTTGATTGATTGCCTTGGGGCGGGCGCTGGCAGAAGTTTGGGCATTATCCACGGTCTCCTCCTCTGCAGCAAGATCGGATCACTCTCTAAGGGCCCCAAGGTGGCACTTCCACTGCGAAACGGGGGTGGTTGCT